CCATGGATATGGGCTGGCAGCCTCAAAATCAATGCAAAAGGGCTCTCTTACTGACCAACTGCAAACGTGATGTCATGGCAGGCCTACAAAGTTTGACGTCATGCCTACAAACTCGGCTCCTGTGACGTACTGACCAACCACACTTCAGCAGTGCAAAGGCAGCCCTTGTAACATGTTGTGATGCAACTGCAAAATAATACAAAACATATTGCGTTGTGGCTGTGTATCTATTTCATCTTTGCCGTTTCGCTTCTCTTGGCTTTTGACCTCTGCGGTCGTGACGCTCTGCGGAGTCACGGCATGAGCAAGCCTAGTGAGTCGCTCGAGTGTGGCCTATTGCGATCACAAATAATCAGCAAAGCCTACAATGCATTTCACATCAATTCACACAAGACCGCAAGCCACGCATAAAGTCACGTAGACAACTAGCGATTAGCTTGTAGTCAATGACTTGCCACCCAGGCCTCACGGCATCCTCGCCTTCCTCACAGGCACAGCAAACCCATCAAATACACGGGTTAGGAGCTAACCCATCAATAGGATTGTTAATACTCTGTTGCACAGCAAACCCATCCTCACAGACACAGGCACAGCTAACCCGTCCAACATGTCCACTGTTCACTGTGTAATAAAGCATGAACTCTCCGCTGCCTCAATGTCCTTCGCGGCTTCCAACCTTCGCTTGCTTGGGCGTGACTCATTTAGCGGGACGAGACTTCTTCGCACTCATATACATATTTGTTTATATAATTGTACATAATGTATACCAAAAACACAAACACACACATTAAGCAATCCCGTGTTTATTGGTTTCAGGCTGCCCTCACCACTTATGGGGTCACGCTTCCGTGTGAAACACTAGAAGGCGTCACTCTGAGCTATGCCACTTAGGGTCTTGGAAGTCGTGTCTGACTTTGCCACCATCTTCTGGACACCTCAGCAATCATTCCATCCGACGCCTGTTCTCAGTCACAAGCAAGCCCGGCAACGACAATATTTCTTTCTTGGACTTGCACTACGTTTACATCTTGCGAACATCTAGGCTCGCCAGGGAAACCGGACAATTGAACACAACAATTGAGGAGCACCCGACACAACACTCTGTGGCCTAGCGAGAGTTGTTGCACACTCAATAACTACACACTGAAAAAGGCATGGTACAGGATGCTAAATACAGAGCATTCAGCATTCACATATTTTATCGGAAGATGGTGTCTCTGAGATATGGCTCTAAGCCTGTGGCTTCGTCATTGGAGGCAAGTCCTCCTCCTGCAGTTTTGCAACGCTGACCATGGGCCAAATCTCCCACACGCAGAGGGTACGACGAACATCGACGAACAACATCAAGAAACCAACGGACCAAACAGAAAGTTCTCAAAGGCAGGCGCTTGGTGCTCTCTGGGTGGTATAATAGAAAGTAATATATACATGCACTTCGAAGATCTTTGAAGCATGATCAGTTCCCAAAGCGTAAATTACTGCTGGCGTGAAAACCGACGACCGAGTGCCATGAGGTACACGGGCACGTGTGTTCTCATCTGCCTTTGCCTTGCTATTTCGGTGTGATGTTGATGTGCACAAACAAGACCACCATTCTCACATTGCCTGATGATTTGAATCCCCATCTGGTCCTCTTCTGATTCTACGGGATCTAGCCAGTCGGACGGCCTGACACAAAAGACCGGGCATAGAAAAACAGTGAGCGGGCATGGGCAGGGGCTTTCTTATAAATCTGTGTAACATCTTTCAGCGATCCCACGCTGGGATCCGACTTCATTTTTGCATGCAGACTCGATCAAGATCGGACATTCAAAATGTTCAAGAATCAACAAGGCCAAGGCACAACAATGCAATTGGACATCTAATGGTTGAAGTTGCATTCAAACACCTGTGAATTTAGCGCGTGCCCGCCAACACCCATAGCTTCTCCTAGAGAGGCATGTGCCCATGTGGGTCCCGGTGTTACGAGGCTACAACGTCAGTTGGTGCCTGTCATGGGCGTGCGAATGAGAAGGCTACTCTTCATGCGTGCGCACATCCTGACCCCAGCATTCTTGCTACTAGTAACAAAGGGCATCGCTACTAGGAGCAAGGACGCTACTAGAGGCTCCTGGCTCCTGGCCTTACTACTAGGAACAAGAAGCCATGGTAGGGCCCCTGCCGGTAGCGAGCGCTGGGCATTGCGGGGCATCGTGTGACCAAGGGCAGGTCACGGACGTCCAGCCAATCTTCCCAGCGGCGGGTCTGCGCAGGACCACCGGTTGGCGAGTCTGCACTTCCTTGCTTTCTTGCTTGAACACTTGGTCCCTTTCACGTTGTGCCTTTTTTTTTGTGTGTGTTTTCGGGTATTTCTCTTCTCATCATTTCTCGTCAAGAAAGCGTTGGCATGGTTAAAATCGGTCAAATGCAACTGACTTTACAAACTTCGGCCGGGCCTGAGAGCCGTTTTCTGGGCATTTGGTCACAAAAGGCAGGTCATCCTCCTGACCAGGATTGGCACCCGGCTGATGGTGAGCCACTCGACTTCCGTGCGGTACTGACAAATTCGGTGGAGTAGCAAAGCCGGTCTGCTTGATGGAATGATATGGAATGTAAGAAGCATAATCCTTAAGAATTGAATGGATGCTTGCAGAATGTTGTCCATGTGGTTGGGCAGTCTGTTCCCAGTTTCAGGAATCCTCTTGATTACTTGCCTGCCAACAGTATCACACATATCACGATCATTCATGATCTATGAAATTTCTGGCGACGTCTCGTCCTCCTCCTCATCGCTGTCCTCCTTCTGGTCACATCCTGGTGCTGTAAGGGTGTATCGCAGGAGCACTGTTTGGTTTGCGCGGACCCACGGCATCTTCTCGATTCTTGGATAATTTGATTATATGGTTCTCGTGCTGCAAAACTTAGGAAAACTCACCGCGCACGCCGAATCATGATACAGCACGACACGGCACACTCTTCCAAGTGACGTGATGCCAACGAGCTTTCACCAGCGAACCTCAGTCAAGTGACTTGCGCAACCGACTCTTCACTCATAGAAGGGGGTGCGGATCAACCGCCCAGTTTTTTTGAGAACAGCTGGCTGCACCAACTCCTTCAGTGCAAAGCGTGCAAAGCGTAGAAAATCCAGTTTCGATAATGTATCATTTAGATGACACGCCCCTGTGCGGAGGACTGTCTGGGAGAAAGGCCTCTCTTCTGGCTGCACCCATGCTTTTCCCTTCAGATTTGGAGGGCTCGCGTCCTTGCACTGACGACTCAGGTGTAGAAAAGCCAGATGAAACATCATGAAACATGTAAATGTAATATGATACTAGTATGATGACATATGGCTGTGGGTCAGGATACCTTATGATAAAGGTCAAGCATATGGTGTTGGGGCTCCAGGTTTTGACCCACCCCCATAGAGTGACGTGTGTCTCGTTCCTTGCCTGGGTCTGCTATAATCCACTAAGAACCGAGTTGCTACCCCTCCCATCAGTGGACCATCTCAAGCTTTTGACCCCGTCCTCGCACCACATGGCAGAACGACGACGTGAATCCTTCTGAACTTGTGCGATGGGCAACATAATCCTCGGTTTAAAAAGCTGAGGCATGTGTGATCCTTTGCATCTGGAAAACCCGCAGCATGCAAAGCTGTTTACCTATGTTTACCAACAATTCCACTTTTTGACGCGATGGACTGGGCGTGCTTTTAGTGAGTCTTCGTGAATTTCTGACAGTCTCTTTGCTTTTTGCCTGCATGTGGGAATGCTATGACCAGCTTGAGTCCGTCATGCCAGTCTCCAGTGCAGCTTGGGCTTCCCGGCATCTCACCCTCACTGTGATGCATGGTGCTCCCAGTGGCTGCACCCGGTAAGACCATCTGCACTCCTGGCGCCCGGCCTCCCCGGTGGCCTGCGTAGGTTCGACCATTCTCCACCTCTGTGTTGAGGTCAGAGAAGCTAATCTTCGTGAAGCCTCGAAACGAAGCAACAGGGTCCCAGAGGCCGAACATAGACTTGGTCCCAGAAGCAGTGAAGCAAAACTCTCAACCCCCACATCCAAGCAATCCCTCTCTAAGCTCTGGCCTTTCCCCAAACGGAAAGCCTCAGCATTCGGAGGCTTCAGGACACAAGAAGGACCCAGCATCTGGGCTCAAATCCTTCCAAAGGAGTGACATGTGCAATTATGTGAAACGATACAAATCGGGGAGGCTGGTTGCATAAATCATCTTGAAGACCTTCGGACACTCTCAAGGTCGCCAAGTGGCCCCTCCACGAGCAGTCCGTGCCCTGCAAACATGGAAGCTTTCAGACTTCCACATCACAGAGTCATGGTAGCCATGCATCATAGCAAATGTAAGTTTCCCTAAAAAAATCAGGAACCAAATCATTAGCGTGTATTGCTAGTAGCTTACTTCTCCCTTACTTCATTAAGTAGCATTAAGTAGGTGCCTACTTCTTAAGTAAGGGCGGGGCGGGGTACAGTAATCAATAAAGTTATGTACGCAGGAGCTGCTCTTTCGCTGTTTGGCTCTTTACGTGTCTAGTTCTTTCGACGCTTGAATTCCACACTGCTGATCAGCTCGCCGCGCTCGCCTCTTCCAAAAACCTTTCACTGATGTTTTCACGTTGGCCACCCATGGGCTGTGGCACGATGGCATCGGCTGCCGTAGCAAACTATATGATATGGTCTGCAGTTGTTGCAGAAATGCCTAGATGCAACAGCAGTTCAATACCCTGACAGCTTTAGAATCCTCCCCGGGTTGACTTCAGCCACTCCAACTTCTGCAAACCTTCTTTGATGCAAAGCACAAATACACTGGCAATTCCTTGACACTCAATATATAATTAAAGCATATTATAGCCGCACAGGCTTGCACCTGAGATGCGACAGCAACACAAAAGGCACCAAGAGAAGCCACACGAGACACAGGACATCCACGGGGCACGAGATCGGTAGCAGCCACAGAAGCCGCACACTTTTGCGCAAAAATCCACCAACAACTCTGGGCCACCAGCCGTTCAGCTGCAATGCTCAGCCACGGTCCCTGAGGTCAAATGTACGTGCTTTGACTGCAACTCTTTTCGCTTGCAGCCTGTAAACTTAGTAAACTTACCCCTTTCCAGAAGGATTGGAGCTCAGTGTGTCCGCTAGGTCTGTCATGTTGTCTAGGTCTGCAAGAACTTTCTCGAGCCAGCCTGGATATACGTTGTCTCTCTTCCCTGGCACAAAAGAAGGGTGACGTGTTTCGCTCTTTGCGTCTCTCGCTGCTCCGATTGCAGCTAAGCCAGCGTGGTGGCGATTTGTGTCCTTAAACTGTCTTGCGCTGCGCCGCTGCGCCGCTCGCGCGCTTCGTGGTGTCTTCGAACGGTCTTGCGCCGCTGCGCTGCTACGCCAGTGCGCTGTGATATATTTTTGTTTTTGTCCTTGATGCGCCGATACGCCTCTGCGCCGATACACCTCTGCCCCGCTGCGCCGCTGACCCCCGTTGCCTACCACCAGTGCAACGATTCCAAGTCCTTCCACTTCCCACTCAAACGTACAGTCTGAACCTGGTACAATATCTCAAAACCTTTAACCGCTTGAAACGTGGCGCTTGGCTTGCGAGACTGTTCTGCTCACCGACCGGCACTGAGTCGGTGACCTCTGAAAAATAGCTTGCTACCAAATAAGCAGTAACTGTATAGCAAAGTGTTACTACTACTAGTAGTGTCTTGCTACTAGTAGGCACTTGTTAGCAATGCCCTTGTTACTAGTAGCTTCTTGCTACCAGTAGGGATCCGTAGTAGTGCAGTCGTTACCAGTAGCGATGCCCCTGCTACTAGTGGCATAGTGAATGATTGTTTTTTATTGCACTGCACAGACAAGAGCACCCATTTCCAGGTAAAGTCACGATCACCTCATGATTGAATTCATGGGGTAAAAATAGGTAAAGAAGTGTGAAAGACCCTGCTGGCCCGACGAAAAGCCAGTGGGTTTCAACATTTTCATCAAAGCAGCTCCGTCTGAGGGTTCAGCTTGGGCTCCAACATGTTGAGGTTGAGCCTCAGTTTCAGGATGTAAGCCAGGACCGTCGGTGGCTTTGTGCCCATGGCCTATTCATGCCTATTTAGTTCACATTGGTTCACTATCTTTCTCGGCCGGCGCTATTGTTACGTTGCTGGTGCTGCAGCTGACGTAGTATTGCCACCACTACCCTCACTACAAACAGTCAGGGTACGAGGTATGAGTACTATATAGTACTATTGTATACTATTGTCAGTTGTTGTTTTGGATCCGGGGTCAAACAAACGGCGCTGCAGTCTTGTTTCTACACCTGTAGAATGTAGAAAAAATAAAGAAGAGGTGTGTTGACGGGGCTGCAGTTTTTGTTGGTGTTGTCGTCGCTGTTGGTTGAACGGACTGCCACGTAACATCAAGCCATTGCAGCCCTGCATCCAAGATTTGTCGGAGATTCGGGGATCATGGGGCGTCGGACATCCACTTGATCAACTCTGTCAAGCTCAAACGCCTGAAGACGACCATGTCAAAGCTCCAGAGTACAAGCACCTGTTGGGCAGCAGGAAGTGTTTGCGTGGCTACTTTACAACAAAACTGACTTAGCTACCACATCGATTATCAGCTGTCTAGACTATTCTAGACTCACTCTAATCTTAGGACTGGCATAATTACATTGCTCATCCACTTGTCAACCAACAAAACATAGCACACATGCACGCTATGCGGAAATCCTTATACGGGTGGCCTGGCACGACTTGGGTCTCCTCAGGTGTAGGCAACGTGCTGCAAGAGGGCCAAAGCTTGCTGCCACTGACCTGGGTGCAAAAGAATGTCAAGGAATGCGAGGCTGTTTGCGAGCCGTTTGTACTCGAGCCTGCCTGGGGTGGTGCCACTTGTGCCACCTGTGTTAATTGTTGGGACGAGTTTCAGGCCTTTCGCATCCTTTCGCCACATTGACCTCTGATTCATGCTTCTTAAGTCTCAATTCTTCCCCCTCACCCCCTAGCCCTACGGTCCTAACGTTGCTCGCTGAACATCCACGAGGAATTCACATCTTGTTTCCAGTTGGATCTTCCATGATCCCAGCATACTCAAGCTTTGCACATTACATCTGTGAGTTGCATGATTTTTGGAATTGGACTGGGCATGCACCATCGTGCTCAGCAAGATCGCCAGCGTCCCGCAAGAAGTTTGTTGTGTGCATTGGCTGGTATAAAATAAGGTTCACACTTGCAGCCTGATAAGCAGCAAAGATCTGGCGGTAGATCCCTTCGTTCGGCCTTCAGAAAGGTCGAGCGACGTTGCATTAAACTGCATTGGTAGCAGCATTTGAATTGGCTCTGGCCAACACATCGTCCATATAAGCTGTGCTTGCAATCGTTCGCATGTCTGGATCTTCCAGCAATCATCTACTTTAGGAAGGGGTGGTCTCGCTGCAGTGCCACTGGGGATTACGATCGTCACCATTCCAGAACAAACTCTTGAATAGTTTCATGTCATGTAGGTGTGAGCTTTGCTGGCTTGAGATCGTCTTCCAATTTCATCAGTTCGTGCCTCGCTTACACTCTTTGGGGTCTGAGGTGTGGTACTTATCACATCACCTTTATCATCCAATTATCACTTTACATGACAAGAATTAAGCAACTTGCAAGTGGAAAGGCCGATTTACGCACGCCAGTGCGTCCATGCCAGCCGTCCTGAGGACCTAGCTCCAATCTTGAGGTACTAAGCTCCATGAGAAGTGCGAAAGCCTTCGGTCACGTGCCGTGATCAAACATTCAGGTGACAATACGTGACATGTGCATGAATCGTTTGGGAGACGTGCTGTTCAGCAACTGGATCGTTTTTGGGTCTTACTGTCTTACTGGATCGTTGAATGACAAGATCGTGTGGACTGGAACGGTCTCACGGCATCTTGTCTCCAGCCGAGTCATTGGTCATTTGGAGTCATTCGCCATCCGCCGACCCCAGCCAATGGTGGGGGAGCGCGCCAGAGAATTCTGTTGCCCGGCTGCGGGTATAGAGATGAAGGTAGACTTCACCAGCGTTAGAAGGCGCCGTTAGGCATTCAGCGGAGGTTTTTTTTCGTGTGCCATTTTGTGAGTGGAATCTCATTGGGCAATGCTGTGACAACACTGGGGCCGAGAGGTTCGTTTAAGGCGCGTGGGAGACAGGTTTTAGGATGTCTTGGTGGGGATTGGTTAAGCACGTGGCGGGTGCGGGGCTGAGTTGATGGAGGCTTGCAAACATGCTGCAGAGGATCTTGAAGATATAGATTTTGTATGAATTGTTTAGTGTTTTTTAACTGGTGTCAGAAGGAGTGAGCGGGCAATTTCGGAGAGTATTTTTCACCTGGACAGGTTTTGGATTGGTTAGATTGGTTAAGCTGGTGCAGGGCGTGCACGAGGGCTACCAGGCTACCAAAAATAATTGGCCCAGCGTGGCGAGGGGCAAGGCCAGCGCAGGCTGGCGGACAAGCTGGAAGAAGGACCTTGAAGACTTGTAGATTGAACATAGATTGATAGACTCAGAAAGCGATGTTTGGCACTGACCGAGCAGCTCAGGGGCCTGTTTTGTGTGGCTAGATATAAAGAATAGATAATAATATATACCTGAGAAGGGGGACGAAGGCCAGCAGCCGCCAGACGAGTGTCTCTTTTTCTGGCGAGCTTGCGAGTCAGCGGTGCCGCGGATGCGGGGGGGGCGAATGTAATGGTGATGGAGGGAGCAGAGAAGCAAGCCGGGCGGCTTTGGGATAAGTTTGGTTTGAAAGAAGTAGTGAAAGAGAAATGCGATACGTTGTATGTTGGTGTAGGTCATCATCACAAGGCAATGGCATGTGTTTGTCGCATGCAGGAAGGAATGCAGCTTATGGAAGTTGGAAGGCGACATCAGCATTAGCGAAGGGGAAATACTGTCTGAGTTCGAGTGGTGGGATACCACCTGTCCGCGCGCGCGTGCGCAGGAAGACCTTCTCCATAGTCAGCGTCGCCGCGCGCGGCGCGAGTACGGCATGCGTTTGAAAAGAAGCAATTATGCGTTTGTTACATTTGGAGTGTTTGACGTTTGCAATGCATACTGCGGCACGTCGAGAAGCGGCATTCCGTTGATTTGGAAGAGTGAACGGGCACGTCTTAGTCGGACACGGACGTTTGATCTCGGGGCGCAGAAGGGGAGGTCCAGCGAAAGTAGCTTGGGCTAGCAAAGGAGTGAGGATTTGTGTGCCTATCGATGCACAAGCCTGGACTTGAGTGAGTCATATTCTGGCTCGATCCAAAGCACAGCCTTTTATTCCTTTAAAGGTGCCTTTATTAAGCGATCCAAACACCTTATTTATTCTTCTCTTTCTTATCAACTCTGCGCCTTTCTCACTCAGAGGCCTTGACTTTGGCACCTGTGTGTGTAGATCTTTTTGGCTGTGGACCCAGGCTGACCAGCAAAAAGGCGACGTCATAAGCCAGTAGTGTGTAGAATTTATCTATCTACCTATCTCTATCTCTATCTCTATCTATCTATCTATGTATCTATCTACCTATCTGCACCGGCAAGCCGGAAAAACGTTCGGTGCGTGTGGACGACGCGAGAAGCATCCACTCGACCGAGGACATGGTGCAAGTATAGTTTTTGCTAGGGGGCAGGAGCCCTATGCGGACATGTAGTCAACCTCGCAGGCACCCCCACCGAAACTCAATCCAAATTCATGGACTTGAACTCATGTCACTTTCGGTTCTCTATGGATTTCGCGAGTTACGGGTTGTCCTGGGAACTCGTATCCTACATGCGGCTGCGGTCTGCTCTGTACGTGGGCCCCTGTCTCCGCTCGAGTGCTCAATGCCCATTGTCCAAATAGCCTCCAAAGCCCTTCATGATGCTAATGCTCCCCCACCAAGCTCCGGGTTCACCCTCTCAAAAGGTCCTTCTCAACGACCACCCCCCCACACCCCCTTAACTCACTTCGTTCGCTTTAAAAGCTCAAGCCTAGCCTATCGGCTGGCTTTCGTAATATATATATATATATCATATATTATCAGATATATATATATATACCTAGAGAGAGAGAGAGCGGACTTTAACACCCTGGTGGCCTGGCGGGCCTTTTCTGTGGGGAATTAGATTGGTTAAGATCAGTGCTGCGAGGCGGGTCTAGCCGCGCCAAAGACAGGTTTCACTCTTGCCAAAGAGCGTTAAGCTAGAGATATAGTGCTGGACTTTAACTCGCGTTAGAAAGCAACATGCGGCACTGAGTGGGAAACACATTGGTTAAGGGTGTAGCGAGGGGGCGTTCAGAAGGCTGTTTCCGAAGTGGATTTGGATTTGAGACCGAGCAGCTTCGGGGACCATTTTCACTGCCTTGCCAGAGAGGCCTCAAGCTAGATGTAGAGGTAGGCTTCAATCCGTGTCAGAAAGCACCGTGTGGCCCTGAGCGACGCCTGATGGCCCTGTTCTGCGTGGGATTGGATTGGTTAAGGGCGTGGCGAGGTCTAGCAGTGGCGGAAACAGGTTTCAGCCTTGCCAACGACAGGGTTTAAGCTAGAGATAGCGATTACTTTATGGTGGAGACAAGGCTTTGGTAAAACGGGATTTGGGTAGATTAGATTGGTTCCTTTTCATCTCACCATCACACAAGAAGCATGATCTGATAAGCGCTCTCCAACCACACCAACTTCAAGCACCTGTCACCTTACGTCTATCAGCAAACCCCCTAAAAAGAACAAAAGAATTGTCACACATCAATGAAAATTGATTCCTCCTCTGTCTGTGCTCCTGGAGTCGGCGGCAAGGGGCGTCAGCCCTTAAACTGTTCTAGAGCTACTGCTCTTGAGCTACTTGTATCATGCTTGTATAATATGCTTGTTAAGACCTTTAAAAGAAGCTCTTCAACTGATGACCTGTGGCTGAACAGCCCTGCGGTAAGCAAACCCTGTGTTTGCCTCTTGAACATGTGCAGCATTGCAGTCAGGAGCCTGCTGCCAGTTGCTACCTCGTCCGCATGCATCGATCCTGCAACTTCAGGCCAGCGGAGAAAACACAACAGAAAAAAGGAGACAAACATAGACCAACATCAGCATAAATCAGCCTCCAGTATCCAGTAACACAGTAACCACCTTCCCGTCCACATTCGAGACATGCCCACGAATAGAACCCCTTCTTCTGACTCTCAGCCCCAAAACAATGCTCAGGATGCTTTCACAAGTCTTTCTGTGCCACCTAAATTTTGCCTCTCCCCAACTCTCTCACTTGCCAAAAGTTGGCCCCCCCACTACCCTCCAGCCTAGCCTAATGGCTGGCTTTCATAAATAAATACATCCACCGCGATAATGAACACTCCAAACGACAATCACATTCACCTGTTGAGCAACTCAAACCCAATGAGGCCCTTGACATTCTTGAGGCTCTGGCAAGCAGCTGTATGTTACGGCCTCATGTCTGGCCATCAAATTAGAGGCAACTACTACCACTCGTACAGCAGTTAAGACATGCACATTAGGGTCAACTTCTTCTGCTCGCATGGCCTGGAGCAATGCAATGGCCTCCCAAGCTGGGCGGATCAAAGCGATTGACCATCGAGATGGATATGGAATGATATGGACATAGTGTTATGAGAGCCGCATATTTTTAATCAGCCAAAGGAACACGGATTTTCGTTTGGAAAGGAACGTCTGGAAAGGAACGCTGAGGCTACACCGCTGACTCGGCTGAGTGTGTGAAAGCTTCGTTCTGGATTTGTGAAAGCTCTCCCCGCGCAGCTCCGGCTGGCCTGTGCCCACTGGCTTCCGTTGGCGCTTGCAGCAATGCCAGAACTGAAGGCTACCGCATCAGGCCTGCAATCTGAAGCACGACTGACTAGCACTAGGCTGTTGGAAATACAGACTTGTAAACTTGTAAAGGTGTAATAAATTGCTCGTTGGGCCGCTCGTTGTGTCTAAGAATGGCTCGAACCACGATCAACAAATGGCACCAGGGTTCAACACAACACCCGCACCCCTAACGCAGGGAAGATACTGTGAAACTTGGATGAACTGGGCCCATCTACCTACCTTCGCGGGGTCTGCCCATTGTAGTTGCATGATGTTGCATGCTTCGCCCCAAGAACAAACGTACATCGTCCGCACACACTCAATTTGGCTTGGTGGAAGGTCTGGACACCCGAATTCTGCATGTTCAGCTGAAGGCAGAAGCAGTATATTGTCTTGCCTCAAAGTTCTCTCGGGCAGCTGAAAAAGCAGCGCGACGGCAATTGCCTGAGAATAGCATGCACAACCCGAGCGTCAAACGACTTGACTTCCTCGGCAATCCTCGGCATCTCTTCCTCGCAAGTGAAAAATATTGGGCTCAAAACCCATTGAAATGCAGCGCCGCAAGCACCTGCGAGCGCAACCAAAAGGCTTTGCAACTAGCGATATGTGCTCAGCATCATTGTCTTGACAACAAAGAAATAATGATCAACAGGTTTCACTCCTGAGTCGACCACCAATGGCGCTGCTCACTGCCAAAACATCAGCCCTGTCGTGACCAAGCCAACAAATTGGCTCCCGAAGAACCACCTGTCGGTGTAATATCTCACACTAAAAATAACTGGTTGAAAGGAGAGCCAGGTGCAAGCACCACCAACATCAACACCAGCAACACCAAGAGCAACTTTCTGGAGGTGAAGAAGGCAAAATGCAGCCGTTTCCACCCCAAGTCAGCAAGCAAAATGGATTCTGCGTCTGTGCGAAGACCTTTTGGCCTTTCTGTTCCAAGTCCGACCATCTTTAGTGCCATCCAACATTATTAACATGGATGCGGCAGCTCGCAGTGAAAAAAGGCCAGCAAGACTTTGCTCCATGAAGCTCTGGCCTGTCATCAATGGACCAATGCAGGGCATAAAACATGATCTGCAGCTCGCGGTCTTCAACAGAAATGGACCCCTTGAAGACCAACATTGACCCTGAAAATCACTGGTTGGTAGAGGCAAACCATCGTCCAGGGGCCCATTATCAGGGTCCATGTTAGTTTCATACTAAACAAGTGTCTGATCTTTACAGCTTGGTGGGGCGGAATGTAAGTATAGAAGCGGGACAACGACAACAATATGCCCACCTTGTGGAGGAAAGAAGTCGTGGCATTTCTAGCATCATATTTTTCAAAACATGGTCTGAATATGTCTGAATTAGATGTCATGCCGTGCCCACAAACACCTCAAATACACTTCAATGCAGCATCTGCAGCCTCGTGAGAAGTGCTAACGCTTCAGCCCAAAGCCTCGGAGACAAGTCTGGAATTAGAATGGCTGTGCTGTGCTGTGGCAGCCTCGATGTGCATGGATTACATTTTTCCATCCAGGCATGTAACTTCTACAGTGGGTCTTCACGGATCCTTTGGTTAGTGTATGGATCTTTTGTACACTCTAGATGGTGTAGTTTAATGCACATAGAAATTCGCGTTAAAAAACAAACAATGATCAATCTGATCGCTGATTCATCCCTTGGGCGGATGGGATGCTCTTGCTGACACAACTGCCAGCGAGAGGGGGGCCTTGCTCTCGCCACGGAGTCTAGCAGAAACACCCTGAACAAATCGTGCCATTTCAGACTTTTTGCTCTCCATCATGTGCAATTTCAAGGCGAGCTGCATTCCTGACTCGCATGCGGTCATCAGCGCCTAGGCAGCACAGCCCCGAAAAGTTGACCGAGCTGAAGAAGCTCCGGAGAGCTGACGATGAAACTCGTCAAAGAGTCGATCTCTTGCACAACAAATGCACCTCACATCGTCAATTTTACAAAAACCCAACACATGTCTTGAATATTTACCAATACTGAATACAGTACAGTATAATATCCTATCTATACACATGGGTTGGGCAATCTTTGAAATTCCCCCACTCCTCACACGCACAGTGCAAAGACTCGACGTAGCCGTACCACTGTTGGCGCCACCATCGATTCACAATCTAATGAAATCTAACCAAGGGTTCGCAACGACTGAGGTCTTCGCACTGCAAAGGATCGTGTTCATCTTGAGGCCGGCCTTATTTGTTATCCAGTGGTCAACAGAATTCGGTATATGATCTGTCAATTGCCTGGCGGCAAGCGCAATGGAAATAATGAAGCTACATGCAAACTTTTGCCTCACTTTGCCAGGCAAAGGCTCGCAGGATCAGTGAGACAGCGGCTCATGAGTGTTAAAAAGTCCCTGGATCATCGCTCTGCCCTTTCAGCATCCAAAACACCTAATTGAGTACCAAAACAAAGGTTCGATGGAGAAGAGGTCGGCGAGCAAAAAGGGCAGGTCATCGATCCCATGAAACGCATGAAAGCGCTTCAAAAAGCGGCCAGGATTATTGACATGAGCAACTGGTAATGTGATGTCTTGTTTCCTCTCCAGGTGATTTTAGGTGATTTCAATGATTTGTCGTTGCTTCTGCTGTTGTCCTATGGCGCCTTAAGCCTTAAGGCAACTTGAGATCTCAAAACAAGGATGCCTACTTCCTTGCCAGTGGCTCACATGGCAGCACCCTTCCAAAGGATTGCAGCCAACTGGTCACCAAGCATGACCCCCCCAAAGCGGAACACACTGCAGAACTGATGGAAATGTTGACTCTCTTGGGATCCCGGACTCTGAGGTCCCCGGACGCCCGAGTCCCCAGCTCATGCAGCAAAAAATCGAGTTGACAAATCAACTATTTGTCCATGCAAAATGGGATCTGAAACATCCATTGGAGCATGGCGACAGGTGGTGAACATCTGAAGTTTGCCACCCTGTCCTCGCCACACCGCCTTTCTCAATTGCGGCCATCTATCAATTGAAAGTCAGTGCCTCAAACATTGCCACTAGTGAGTGTTTGGCTTTACAATTGCAACTTGCAAGCACTCTAACAATAACATACAGCAACATTGGTAACACACTCATACATACTGTACACTGTATCGTTCCTCTATCAACCATGACCAAGTCCCTTGGCATTGCCCCTGAAAAAGCAATCGCTGTCGGAAATTCACTTCACATCTGCTTGAAGGCTCCAAAGCGCTGAGGCAAGGCGAGACTGCTGACATTTCAGCTCCTGAGATGGGATCAGTCGCGCTTCGCTGACAAGCTTGAAGGAGTTGACAGCTAAAGGAAAACATCGGTATGATGCCAGCTCAGCGTGGCTTTGTTAGAAGCTGCATGTTGTGGTTTCTACTTTTATCCTTTGTGAGACTTTTCTCCTTCGCAAATTTCTTTGGCTGTTGGGGAGTGGCCGCCTCCATACATCAAAGGCTTATGACGGGTTCGGGCCAATGCCGCCAGGTCTCATAGATCTCACGTCGCAGCTGCTCCACATCGGCCTCTTCATCGTGCAGTCTCTTTTTCTTCTCCTTAACAGCTGACATCCCTCCCACTCCCAAGTCACGTGCTCTTCAATGGCTTCCCTGTAATTTATCCCTTGGGGCCTTAGGGTATCAAAAACGGACCCTGAGCCGCTCAGCGTCTTGAATTTCCTCCTTGATCAGCGCGAGGCTCATCTCCGTAGCTTCCACTTCCAAACGGCAGCTTTGACCACCTTGATTTGACGCTTCAGGATCCCGATCCGGAAGATACATGGTCATTGTCGTGGTCTGGACATCGTCCGTGTAACCGTACCATTCCTGCCACGGCTTGGGAAGCAAGAGCTGCTACTATGCTTATTATTCAAGGTGTCGAACAACAATACGAAGATGCGAGTCAGGTCTTTGGCAACAGTTAAAACAAGACTTGCAGAGGCTTTGCGAATCAGCTGGTGCTCCTGAAAGGCATCCAGCGGCTTGGTCTCTGCTTCCGGAACTTCTGCCTCTGCATATCCTCAGACAGCGAGCAACATTGCCAGTCCATTCTGCATTTTGGCTCCTAGTTTTATAAATGTTTCATATGGTAAGGCCAGAATCCTTGATAAAAAAATCGAAAAAAAATGTCAAATGGAAAAGTCACAGTCAAAAAATGTCAAATTAAATTGAAAAGTCAAAACAACAGTTAACAAAAACGTCAAACATAGACCACTGCTCGAAAAAGTAAAAAACAGTCAAAAACACGTCGAACAAAAGTCAACAACTCGAAACAGTCAAAAAACATGTGAAAGAAACATCAAAAGTCAACCACTCGAAAAAATCAAAAAAATCGAAAACACGTAAAAAAAATCGAAATTAGAAAAACAAAAGTAAAGAAACAGTCGGATCTGGGCAAATCGTTTTTTTTCTGAAACTTGTCTGAAACTTTCTGATTTGACTTTCTTTTTCTTTGACTTTTGGGACTTACTTTTTTTGACGTTTCTTTTTTGGGGTGGATTTTTAGATTTGAAAACAGGCTCTCTCCAATGAAACATTTTTATAGCCCTAGTTTTCAACGTCAAAACTTTGTGGGGAGGTTCCAGGATCACTGAATGAACGCGCACGACCCACACACACTCTGACATTGGTTTTCAGTTAGCTAGCTCAATTCCCAGGAAATGTGGTGATGGAACGGGAAGGTGGCAGAGTCCGTGGAAAAGTATTGTTCAACATTGTTTGCACATGACTGCAGAAAACGCGCGGCTGCTGAACGTGGCTGAAGGAAGAAAGGTTTCGGGGAGGTATCGTGGAACCACCATGGAAACAAACAAGAGAGACTGGAACAGCGTGAGCAAAAGTTCAAACCTGTCGCAGGTACGTGAACCTGGCGTCCCAGGTTCATATCCTCTCCAAACATCAGTAGCTTCGTTGGCCACAGACCGATGAATGGAGCTGTGGCCCCCTGCGTGAACAATGGAAATTGTAAGGTGGAACCCTTGGAAACAGGGGTCGACACACACACGGTGCCGCTTGGCGGCGCTCGCGTGGAAGGCCTGAATAGATACCTAAAACGCCTTAGAAACAAAAGAAAGAAACACAGAAAGAGCAGCGCTAAGAGGGCAAGAGAGAAAGATAGGAGTAGAGAAATGAAAAAATGAATACTTAGTCCTTGACTGGGGTAGGGAAACGCGCCTCAAGAACAACCTAAAAAGCCTGAGAGAAAGCCCAAGAAACAACCAAAAGCGTAAGAAAGAAAGTGGGGGGCAGGGAGGGGATGTATGTGGCATGTGTGTGTCCGTGTGTGTGTGTGTGTATGACTACCTAGCACTCTAGGGTTACTGACTACTTAGCAGAAACGAATTACGTGCAAAAGTTAGGGAGCGGGACTTTAGTCTTAAACCGCCCGGGTAGAGTAGACTAGAAAAGGGACAACAGAGGGAAAGGCACCGACACACAAGTGTGTCGAGTACCATTTCCCTGTGTTACCCTAATTAGGTAGGGAGTAGAACTCGGTGGGGGGGGGTTGGGAGACCTGCCTCCAGTGGGTTGAATTCCGTTTTTTAGCCCGGCGGCTATGGTATCCGTGAAAGCCCAGCGGCTTTAGATTCCGACAATTCAGTAGTGAGGCTATAAAGGCTGTTTAAGGTGATTCACGAAGACGCTGATTCAGTAACACGATTTCCGGCATGAAAACGGCGCCTCCTTGCGGAGGATCACACCCAGCACCCAAGTGAGACGGCTGAGCGGTTCACACTCTGACATTGGTTTTCAGTTAGCTCAATTCCCAGGAAAAGTGGTGATGGAACGGAAAGGTGGCAGAGTCCGTGGAAAAGTATTGTTCAACATTGTTTGCACATGACTGCAGAAAACGCGCGGCTGCTGAACGTGGCTGTCGAACGTGGCTGAAGGAAGAAAGGTTTCGGGGAGGTATCGTGGAACCACCATGGAAACAAACAAGAGAGACTGGAACAGCGTGAGCAAAAGTTCAAACCTGTCGCAGGTAATTACGTGAACCTGGCGTCCCAGGTTCATATCCTCTCCAAAAATCAGTAGCTTCGTTGGCCACAGACTGATGAATGGAGCTGTGGCCCCCCTGCGTGAACAATAGAAATTGTAAGGTGGAACCTTGGAAACAGGGGTCGACACACACACACACACACACACATGCACCCCCGCACGCACAGTGGCTCACACCGAGTCAGCGACCCTGGATGCAAAGAAGTATCCATAAAACTCAGCAAATCCATCAAAAGGAAGGGCATCAAGTGTCTCGGTCGGTTTGTAGCCAAGGCATTGTAGAGCACGGCCTGTCATGGCGCCCGGCATGCCCCAGCGTCTAGAAATAACAACTAACTCAAGCTGCCTCGAGGCGATGCTTGAGCCATCTTCCTGTGAAAGGCAAGCTGAAATGCTGCTGCACTCATGTGATGTCATGTGAACATCAGCACCGGACTGCGGCGGTGCCAGTAAAGTGAGATGATGAGAGTGCCAACATGAACTGAAACAGCGAGGCAGCCTAGTCTTGAATTTGTCACTTATGACACTTATGCCCTGAGACTGAGATGCCTTAGCTTTCGGCGCTTTGCATCTCTTCAGCCAGGTGCAAAGCAAATGGCCAGCTAGGACCTGGAGCAAGCACCGCAGTTTGGGCACAGTCATCCCCTTTCCATTCTTGCTGATGCTTGATGAGGTGAGGAGCATTTGAAGTCAGAAGAATCAGGAATTCATCTTGGCGCCACCCCCTTGACATTTTCTACAAACAAATTGAGAAGAATCATTGTTGTTCAGCATCTGCCCAAATTAAGCACGTGACACATCACCACCACGGGGATTGCTAAATCCAAAACATTCCAAAACCCTCAAGCTACTAGGGGCTCCTGGCCTTACTACTAGGAGCAAGGACGCTACTAGGGGCTCCTGGCATCGCTACTAGGAGCATTCTTACCACTAGGAGCATGGAGACAATCTTCTTACTACTTATATAACCCTCTGTGCATCCAACCCTTGGCCTTGGGCACAGCCCGCCATGGCACTGCCGTAGGCAACGAGGTCTGGCTGGATCGCCTGCCGAGTATTGGTGCCCGACACAAACGGAGCGGTATTGGTATGCATTGCAACCTAGAAGTGGTGGCCTCCAAGCTAATAGCGATGGCCTCCCACCTGTACTTGTAATGGCCTCCAAACCTAGAAGCAATGGCCTCCTATCTCATTGAAAGCCTTGCTGCTTCAAATTAGGGTGCCCGCCATATCATCAAAGCTTCGCAGCAGCTGCAGCGCCAAGGTCCAATGAGCAGAACGTCTGCCATTGGGTGTGCATCATCGAACAGACCACCACATGAATCACGATGGCATCAACCCCAAACTGATTGATGCGTAGCAGGCGTAGCACGAGTCATGCACACACACACACATAAATAGAAACTAGCTTGCATTTCCCGAGATTCAGAGGCTTCCATCTTTCAACTAAGTTATCTGACCAGGCCTAACCAGTTGAAACAAAGCATCACAAGCTTTTGCCCTGACTAGTGGGGCTGCACATCGGAAACATGTACCGGTACCCGTACTTTTACTCAAACATGATCAAACTGTTTCCGAAGCGTGGCAAAGAGTCTGGCAAGCGGTGAGGCCTCAAACAACATGTCTTAGATCGCTGGCATACAAGTTCCTGAAATAGCTCCAAAGCTTGGACGCTCCAAAAATTGAAAAAAATCTCATATGATGTCCTTCTATGTCCTTCTCTGCTCTGTTTCAATTACTGAGCTTTGAGTTATTCCGCTAGCCCAGCAGCCTCCCCACATCACCAGCATTGGAGATCATTGGAGGCCAAACAGGGTCCAAAACACCAACCATCATGGCTGCTCCACTTTGGGGATCCCAGCAGGCGCTCAAAGTGAAGACCTCTGCAAGCACTTACATCAGGACGATGCAGCCGAAAGGAGACAAATTGAGCAACCTGATCTTGTAGAATCTTTCAAACACGGTGAGGCCTCATGCACCACACTTAGCTTTCTTGTGAAGAGGGGCATGCTCAAAAAGCAATCCACTTGGACAAAGTATGAGAAAGTGCAGGAACCTGCACATGCCGCTCATCGCTACGACTACGATTGAAGGTCTGACATTTGCATTTGTAGCCATATGTCAGGTCTGCCAGTGTTGCACTCCCAGACTCCCAGTTGGATCTTGTCAGCAGTGCTCTTCGGAACACACACGCACACATCGGCTTGGAGACAACACGCCCTGTCCGGGCACTCTTTATGTCCCTGTAGAAGTGCCATGTTCCAAAGCAAGCTATGCTTGAATGCGTAAGTGGCCCGCATCTGCTTTCAAAGCTTCTGGTAGAGCTGACGCGAGTGCCAACGCCATTTCCTCAAACCAACAGAAGCTATCAAACCCGAACTTTGCTCTCAATCGGTTTAGTGGGCTCGCGTGACAGGTCATCATATTGGTCCAACAAGTCTCCCAAGCGGAACCACGCTCACAGGAGGAGATGGCTGTGTTGTAGCAGGTGAGGTCCTCCGGGCAACCCATGAGTGCCAAATCTGCCAATGTTATCAACGTTGACTGCAGCATGAACATCTGCAGTGTGAATTTGAGACCTTCTTGCAGAAGCACGGTGCACGCGTTCACTCTACAAACCGCTCCCTCACCCCCCTCTCTGTATGTGTATGAGAGTGGGGGTTTGGAGTTTCGGAACGCTTAGAACTTACAGGGCCATGGCCGTAGTAGAACAACATCTGCAGGTCCCTGCGAACCCTGCAAAGCTCGTTTTCCCTGTCCGGAGCTGGCCACCTTGGTGTGCCACCAATGTCGGGATGTCTGACGCACTCTACGACTCTTCGAAGTTGGTTGAGTGATGTTGAGTGGAAACATCGCTGATCCCAGGCCAAGGGTGGACGCTCAATGAGTGCAAAACGATTGTAACAATATAATATATATATATATAATGATTGCAGCATTGGCGATAATTATTTTGTTGATTCTTCTCTCACCCTCTCATTGAATGAAGGAAAACCACATGGGAGACACGGACTAGCAGGAAACCAGAACACTACCTAGGAAAATGGAGGAAGAAATGCACAGCTTCCATCCTAGAGTGATGCATTCCCGCATTTTCACAGAACAATTCATGTTGAGTGAGCCCCGCGCGCATCTCCAACTAGCATCCTTGACAGGATGCCCAAGGCCTGTGTCATCCGAAGCAGAAGGCGTTCGGTTTGGCTTGCACATAACAGCTGCTTGATTGTATGGCATTGCGCATTCAGTGAAATGGAATGGGTGATGTTTTGGGTGGAACCTCAAACCACAAGGAAGCTGGATCGCATGCAGTCATTGCCGCCGTGCAACTGATCGTTGTTGGCCTCAGTCTGCAAAAATGCATCACATGTGCATCTACTTATAGAACTCCTGGACTTTGCAAGTTGGTTTCCATGGATGAAACACGAGCAATGTGTGGCCATGTAGTCTTGCAAGTTCCTTCGATAGAGGGCAGCTGCTAGGCCTCTGTATCTCTCTCATTTCTTTGTTGCTGTTGCTCTGGATTTGTCCGCACAAGCAGGGTATATACAGGACACTTTTTGGATATGAGCTGCTGTTGGACAGTGCCATGATAACATAATGCAGCTGGCACTTCTGACCTCAAAGGCAAGCTACACTGTTGATATCCGTCTGTGGATCATTCAGGCACGGCACTGCAGATCCTTGTCAAGAGCTTCCTGAAACCTGAGGCACCAGCTTGGGCAGCAAAGGGAAGCCAAAACTACACGAGAACTCCTGTGACATGCCTCCTGCCCACAACTCGCCCCAAAGAGTATCAATCAGGGCATGCTCGTGTTGTTCTTGGGCATGACATTATGACATTGCTGCTTGGGTATCCTATGGATACTGTAGATCGGTTCAATCTTGTGCGACGATACCATGCTTATGATCATGCACAGTCTAGTCTATTTTGTAGCCATCTTTGCCAATCAACGGCATGCACACAAATTTGCCTGCCATACAGGACATGAAGTTGCACAAAACTCCACATGCCTCAGGCACCTACAAAGCCAATGCCAAAGTCCATTCGCTGCCTAGCAAACTTTACTATCTGTCTGCTGAGACGACGTCGTGCGCTGAGACGGCACAAACGGGCGCACTGTTGTCTCAAGGCACAGAAATTGCGTCCTCGTCGGAAATTGAATAGGGTAGGGGACTGATGGGCCAGGCACCTTTTTGAGCTGCAAACATTGCTGTATTGTAGGTAACGACCTCGGTCAAAACTTGCAAAAAAAAGTCCAAAAGCGTCTCCCTGCATCCATGAAACAGGACAAAACATCTGCGAAAAAAACAACCTACTTAGGATCCAAGCTGTTGGTCTGAAACCACTGTGCAAGGCCTGCACAAAGAAGACTCACTGGATCAGCGAATCAGGCTTCAAAACGAGCGGTGCTCTGGCATCCCCGGCTCTCATGTCCCCACCCGCTGGGCGGCGCCTTGTGCAGTAAACTCAGCGATTGATCCCAAAGCCTGAGACAGCAGGCTTTCGGGCCGGTCTCTTACTCTTGGCATCTCTGAAGCCGGCCGTGATGTCAGTTCACCAAATTGACATGGGGCCCCCATGTTGAATCATCATGAATCACCCAATTCTTGACAGCATCATCAATTAAGATCCAAAGTAAATGGCCATTGGCCATTGCCTGCCTCTCTGTGAGCCGGCCAAGAATTCTCAGGGCCAAACCCAGCTTTCAACAGTGAGGCTGCCACGGTGTTGTAAGTCACAGTATCTGGGGCGACCTTCGTACAAAGAAACATGACCCATCATGAACTAAAGTGCTAGGGTTTCGCCAAATCTGATCAGTCTGATTGGTAAATTGCGCAACATTGTCCACTTGTTGTGTTGTTGGGAGCTTTTCGTGCCATTAAGGCTTGACCGGACAAGACAACCTCCGAGGTCTTTGCATGCCACAAAGGCAACTCGTGGAAGAGCTGAGCAACGAGTTCCCACTTGCGACCCTGGCATGGCTTCTGGCAACAACTCGGGCGTGCTAGCTACAATGATGAATATTGACAAACTCGGTGGTCTTGGGATGAATTGGAACCCCAGCGAGTGGATGACCCGGGCAACTCGTCACAAACATCCACCGATCTGCATCGCCTTAGCGCAAGTGGCCAGGAGCTTTTGAGCCACGTGGACATCAGGCGCTTGCTTCCTTTGGCGAAGGCCCGCAAGCAATGCCAAAGCCTGTGCCCACGCATTGCGGTGGCCCTGCTCCTGAGACACTTTTTGGAGATGTGTTTGTAGGCAAACTGCCACCTATTTTGGCAATCTTGACCAATCAGGAGATTAAAACAACAGATCTATATATATAAACATTATATATACAACACATATCATTATGCAACTCTGTAGTGAGGTCTTTGCGATCACAATGTCTTCCAAAGACATGTTGCCCTTGTGTATATCAACATTTTCATGTACATATAGTATATATGCAGTCCGCTCATTATTGTGGGGTGGGACAGTCGCGTTGCCTTTGACAATGGATTCATGCCACGGAACAAACACGGGTGCCGCGAAATTCAACCGTAGGCAGGTGGAGGTTGTCCAAGATCTGGTGATAGGTGGCATGTGTCGCCTGGTTGTCCGGGATGCCACTGTCGGTGGGGCCTGACGTGAACATGCTGCTTGAAAAGAAGGACTTGCCGGACTTGCTGTGAGCAAAGCTGTGATCACCTATATAGTGGTGGGTGAACCACAGCCCGGCAATCCGTGCGAGGGACTCCAGCCACCAAAGGTTCCTCAAGGTGTGTCTTCTGAAGCAGGTTGTGGGATTGTGCCTGCTTCCGTGCTGAAACGCTGATTCGACAACTTCTTGCACGGCGCTCGCATTCGCAGCACACACAATCCATATCTATCCATACGTGGCTTTCGTGGTTCCATCACAAGTGCTGTGAGGAGACGGGCGGGCTTGGCTTGCTGGGAAGCTTCAACTTCTGTGGACTTGGGACAAGTGACAGAATGAACGGATGATTGTTCACATATACCGTAGATGCATGTAGAGTCATGTAGATGCATGCATCTGCCTCAAGCTATGCAACATTATTCATTATGCAACTATTCTTCTGATCCATTGGCACTTCAAACTTTGCGGCTCCTTGATCAAACGGTTGTAGCCTGAAAGCAGCTGTGGTGATCGAAAGTCCCACCACTTTCCGGCCTCGCAAGTTGTGTGGAAGAAGTCCGAACGAAGAAGCCCTTATTGAATCTCAGAGAGTTGTCTTTCCAGGTCTTTCTGAGCCCAAGCCCACCCACCCAAGGCCTACCCTGCCCTACACTTCCAAAAGGTTTGCCCAAAACCAAAGTTCTTACAACATGAACAGCCATTGAGAGCGACTTTTACAAACTCATTGGCAGTGTAAGGCCCGTGGTCTCCCTTGCAAGACCCTATGGCATGCTACATGTTATTTCAGTATATTTCAGTCAAGCGGTGTATGAAGTGCACGTCTGTGTTAAGTTTTGAACCCCTGGCCTTGCTTGCAAATCTGCGCCCATGGCGCAGGCAGCGGACACGCATGCAAAAGGGTGCATGCCCAACACATTCGCGCAATGTGGCAAAGAAACATAGGGACCAGCAGCTAATTGAAGTTTCATTGATTTGATTGACATTTGATCACTGTGATGAGCATCATTGAGCCACCTTTGTGTGGTCCAGCTGGCTTTCCACAATCTCTCATTGGGTGCCGGGACAGCACAGACTGTGGTAGTGTCCTGGGCACATCAAGCTCCAATCTGCTTTGTCAAGGGGCTTCAAAAGTCGGTCTCCAGCTTGAGTCCGAGCAGTCTGGCAGTGCTTGCTTGGAAGACTTGTGATGATACAGCTCATTGTACGGATGACTTCTGCACACAACCCGCCAATCTTCAGAAACCAGCAAAACCACACTAAACTTGGCCCTCACAGGCCTCGCAACACGCATGATGCAACCGGCAAATGCTCACACCCCTGAGTTGATCCAGGAGGAGTCTGGCGGCTGGGACAGCATATGAGCAGCGTATGTCATGTCAGTTCATCTTCGCCCCACTTTCATCGTTCGCATTACGCATTCTCCAAAGGCTTCATTGGCCGGCGATGCCAAGTGTGTCTGAAACTCATACTGCACACACTCATCAAAACAATGATACATATCACAAACACAAAGTTCACATTCACTTGCAAGAGTCGTGGGGAAATGTGGCAAATATGTGCACCATCTCGAATTGAATAAGTATGTGCAAGATACAATTGAAGCACCTGACCTTTGAAGCCCAACACGTCTTTAAACGCTTGAGAACCTGAATTCCCTGACCTGCTTGGCATCGTCCTACACTTTGTGGCCATGATCGGCATCAGTCTATCATGGCCACTGAGGGGCGCTTTGGCACCGTCTTCACTCGCACGATCTGGCAAACTCGATATGACAGAGAGCTGTTGAACGATTTGAAAACAAACAACCAAAGAAGCAGTCTTCCTGCAACGCCCGGGCCTCTTTCCGATTGTCACACAACAACGCGTCCGAAAGTCTCTTGCGGGAGTCTGGCAGTCGTCCTGGTCGCCGAGACTGATCCCGAGATCGTTTGCTTCCGGGACGAAAACGGCCCAGTCTCCTGTTCTTGACGGTCTTACGACGCTGCGGAGGAGTCCTGGCAAGCCACATGTGACATCAATAAATGCTGGCACTGCTAGACACATATGATAACATATGCACAGCAATTTGCACAAACAGTTTGTGAACGTTCCTCGCCCCAGTGGAAGCAACAAGCCGCCTGAGGCCTAAACGTGGCAAACAAGTGGGAAAATCAGCCATTCTGCCAGTTTTTGCACAATGGTCAAGTCCACTTTCAGTGATGTGCACGGATGTTCCTTCATCCATCAAGCCTACGACAAAAACATACAGAATCTGTAGTGCTCACTTGTTTCGTTCAAGTTTGCATCTGTGGTTTGGGCTTTCAGGTGCTCGTCGGTTTTGCTCCATCTGCTTCATGGCCTGCTCCAACTCCTGATCATGGAATCGGACGTTGATGGTTTCATGAAACACATGGCATGGAAACCTCGTTGTTTCAAGCCTTGTTACATTCTTGTGCCCTTTTTCCTGGATGCGGCAGACCAACCTCCACGAACCAGTGTGAACAAAGGTCCGGCCTCTATGCACGCGTCTCAGAAATGGGCAACACATTTGGACCACTCCTAGTTGTGGATCTTTTTGACAGCCACACGCTCGGCTTGGTGCGTATGCCCGGCGTTTTGCGTTTCAGCGACTAGACTATACAGTGCTATTTTCACGGTTAGCATTTCAAAGAGATACAATCTCAAGGCAACCACCTCCTACTTGTAGTACCCCCTCCAGCTTGTAAATGATCACACAATGAATGATCTATTCACCCAAAGCTGCTGAGCGTGCTCTCTCCTGTGCTGCAAACGGCACAAAGTCAATGTGTTCCTTCTCCATTTGCTGGCGGCCTGCCACACCGACTTAAAGCAAACAGTTGGATTATGTATGACTTGGAAATGAGTGATGTACCAGGGCAACCTGCTGAAAAACAATAATTAATTCGCAGCAGCACAACAGTTTGTAACCGGTTCAACTTTCCCCTGCTCTTCTGCACCCTCTCTTCTCGTTGTTCCTTGCCCCTCGTGACATTTCTGTAACTAGCGTGTGATGACGCTGGCGACTCGTCATATGTTCAGGAATTTCACAAACAGAAACTCTTTCATGGGATGCAAAGGGCCGATTACAGAATGCGCAGGGCATGCTATGACATCTTGTTCATTCCTCATACATTTGGTATGGTAGTGCGCACCTATAAACCACTTCAGCCGTGCACGTCTGCGTTTCCCATGCAAATTTGCAGCCACAAGAACAACTTGTCCTTTACACTCACGGTTTTCATCGAAGTGACATGGTGCAAACTGCAATTTGTGGACCAAATTGGGACTGCATGTGCCAAACCCAACTACAGTATATACTATATAATATATGCTACATTAAAAACATGCAAATTCTGCAGTGTTATCTGCACCAGGGCCCCTCACGTGCTTTTGCACAGGCAATTTCTTTAGCCAAACGTTGTTGGTGCAGCCGAACCATGTGCAACTCCTCGCAATGCAAACAGAGAGGTGCCCCTTTCATGTGCCGACAGGAACATGTTGCTGCATCAGTGAGAAAAAGGCTGGTAGCGAACAATTTTATGTCAAAGTGAAATCAAAGTGAAACTTTGTACGTTACCGTTACTTGCGAATTTTGCAGCCAAGGAAATTGGCAACAAGAAACTGTCCTTCTCCAACTTTTCTTCCCATTGCAGTTGTTCAGCCCTGAATCTTGAATCTTTCATGTTGAAAATCAACAAAGCAAACAAGCAAACTTTGCAATTAACATTCGGTTTCGGAATGCCACCGTGGGAGCGCCGTAGAGCTCACTACGTACACGGATGTTGAATAGCACATTGGGTCTTGATTGCGTCCTTCTCCACCTAGTGGCATCCTTGCTACTAGTAGTACAAGTAAGCCCTTCTGCCCCCCGCATGGTGTGTTTGGAAAAACGCCGCGTTATCATGCGAGGATCATTCGGCCGTTCGGTGTTGTTCGGCCTCGGCGAACCAACGTGGATACAACACTTGGTGGCACAGGCGTGAGGACGAGGAAGGGTATAACGTGAGCAAGCACATGATATTGTTTACTTTTGCTTTTGTCATTGCTTTTTGACCTGTGCTGTACAAGGCGATGCCCAGTCCAGACTTGGTTCATCGTTCATCGATGCAGTTTGAAGTCCATCACATCTCAGTGCCCAAGTGCAGTGAAGCAAGCGTGCTTGCTTGCCCATCAAGCGTGCGCAGCATCATGATTTGGTTACTGATTTGTCCCCATGTACGAGCTTGCGGCTTTGCAATGAGCTTTCAGGGATACTATGTATTACAAGTCAATAGCGGTCTAGGCAGGTGGATACATTTTTACTTGCACACGTAACATGAGGCATATGTGCGTGTGGCCTCACACTTGACCATCTGGAAACCATCCTGAAAGCCAAACACAAATGAGTCAGACTGTTCTCAACCCCCAAGAGGAGACATCTGGACATACAGCCAACAATAAAGAATCGAAGCTTCTCAAAACCAAAGAGCCCAAATGCTTGAGTAGGGGGTTTGCTAAGTTATATAGGTAGGGGATGGTCACTAAGAAAGCAAACAACTACAACACAAACCTTGACCACACCGTGCACTGTGCACTAAACAACCAATAAGTACAAGGAACTAATCTGACCTACATCAAAATCATAAGTCAGTTTTCTTTTGTGAGTTTTTTGTGTTTGGTTGGGTGGGCTGTCACGCAGTTAGAGCTGGAGTCCAAACCTCAGCTTGCAAACAGTTTGGCGAAGCCAAGAAATAGAACAACACACACACACCAAAGGACACCAGATACATGTTGCAGACAAATACCAGTTAGGTAGCCTCCCTGAGCTGGCAGCAGCCTGGTCATCCTTTCTTCAACCATCACATGGAAGGTATTCAAAATCACTCACGTGCGTGCTTTCTTCTCTCACCACCAACCCATCTTGGGCGGGGTGCAAGAAGCTTGCGCCTTGCCCTGCACAAAAGCCCACCTGTCAAGGTCAAGGTACACCACCTGTTCACGCGAGCCTAAACACATGATGCAAGCGTGGGCATGGAGCGAAGGCGAGGTGTAGCCCCGCAATGATCTCTATCATGGTGGGGGTTATAGATAGGTAGATAGATAGATAGATAAGAAAGAAAGACAGATAGATAGATAGACAAACAAATAGATAGATAGATAGTTAGATAGATTAGATTAGATATTAGATTAGATTAGTTTAGATTAAATATATATATATATATATTAGATTAGGATAGATAGATAAATAGATAGATAGATAGATAGATAGATCAGATAATCAGATAGATAGATAGATAGATAGATCAGATAATCAAATAGATAGATAGATAGATAGATAGATCGATAGATTAGATTAGATTAGATTAGATTAGATTAGATTAGATATATAGATAGATATTCGTAGTAGCATGAATCAACAGGGCATATGCAAATTGTGACAAAAGCGAACTGTTGATGACAGGGACACTCTGACCTTGTGAACATAGAGTGAACACATACACACAAAGTCAAGGACAGCCAGCCCACTTCTCAAAAAGACAAAACGCGTTGCAATGCATGAACATAGAAACAGTTAAGGAAGTTGATGGAGCAGTTAAGGAAAGCAAGCCCCACAAACGCGTTGAACAAAAACCAGCAAAGAATTGGATTATCTTCTGAAACTCCACTCTTCAGCATAGAAGTGACAGTGACTTGATAAGACAAGTAGCAGCCGGCAGCGTACTCAAATTCTGCGCATCAAGTGCGATCACAAGCTAATCTGATACATTGCAAGCTAATCTGCAGGCTTCTTCTTGCCGGCCGGGGCCCGAACAAGGCTTCACGAATCGGGCCTTTCACCCGCAGCCTCAAAGCAGAACGTGGATGCTCATGACTGCTGGGCCTTTCGACTTGGCAAGTTCTTCCTCACACTCAGATATGCTGTGGGCTTCCTCTTAAACACAACATGGCCAGGGCCTTCATAGGAATTGGCCGCTAGGCCACATGGCTGGACTGCTTTGGCTGCATTTTCAGTTGCCGCACACACTTTACACCGCAAGGACGTGGCCCACCTGTCTTGGTTTGCCTGTGTGGCCAACATTTATTCTGGGGTCCATCCCACTGGGAAGCAGACCCCTCTTCAGATTGCGAAGCCGTGTTGCATGGCTTGCCTTGATGAAGCGGGATAGAGGGAGATGACACATATAATGTCATGGGAGACTTTTTGTTGACATATATACATGATAACGTCCTCAGCCAACTAGCGAAAGCAGGCCTTGTAACTTGAGCAGCTGCTCCGCCATGGCCTGAAAGCTATCATTCCATACCAACGTGTTTTTAAAGCTGGCAGGATAGTTTATTTGGTGCGAGCGAGTCAAGCGGCTGTCCATAGCAACTACCTTCGAACTCTTTTTTGTCTATATAGTGGCTAGCTTCCTGCACCTAGTAGCGATGCCCCTGTTACTAGTAGCTTCTTGCTCCTAGTAGTAATGCCAGGAGGTGCTAGACTAGTAGCTTCTTGCTCCTAGTCTCAACAGTTGAACACAAGCCTAAGCCGGACCGGCTATATATCAAACTGTGCACACACGCTGCAAGCACCGTACTCCAATTCCAGTTGCACGCAATTCATCGCAACCCACGAAGCTGGTATCAAACAACAGCTGGGGTGCCCTGCTATGGCTGCAGGCTCGACCTCCATGCAGTTTGGCCTGTGCGCCATGTCAAAATGGGTGCACGTGGTGCTCCTACACATGGCCTTCAAAGGCGATTGCACCTGGTGAAGGGAATTGCAAAATGTGAGGAACACCAATTTAGTATCTTATATATTTTAAAAATATATTTATACACTATATATATAGATTGAATCGTTTTCTCATGTGACCCTGCCTGCCCTGCCACTGAGCCGTCGTAAGCACCTGGGGTCGAAAATGCAAATCGAAAACAACATACAGTAACATACATATCTGACTACCCAACCACGTGGGGTATCTCTGTCACTGAAATGATGATGCTTCACCTGGTGTGAATCTTACGAGTAGGTACAATGGTACCCCATGTTTTAAAAACAATTAAACACACTCCCTCAAAATTGCCGGGCCGACACTCTTGTTTGACATGCTTCTGGGTGACACTGTTGCTCTTGTGCGACAATCTTGTCGGACAATCTTCAATCTTGCTTATATAACATCTTAAAACGCATGGATCCGAAAGCTACCCCTTGTGCTACCACATTCGTATTACAATCTGTCCGCAACAGCGCAACTTTAGGGAGACACACCTTGCAAGCAAAGCCTTCAAAGCCCAAATCCCACACTGGCACAGCTTTAGCGTGAACACTTGCCGAGAAATGTCCGACCACACATTTGAAGAAGTCATGTTCTTACATAACTTTACAAGAATCAAGCCATCTCAAACCTCCTCCAACAGCTTCCCTTAATGGGAGGGCCACGGGCAACCAATTTCAGCCACTGCGGACGTTGTCAACGGCAGCAAAAGGTGTAGCATTGTCACGCGAACACAGCTCTACCGACTCTACCTCCAAACCCTGGAACCAATAGGAATAAGACGGGAACCTGATGCCATGCATCCAGGAACATCCTATTTAATTCTGGCATCAAAGCGCACAGCAGCGCTCCTGCACAAATGAGATCTTCAACCATAAACATAATCAACACACCACTTAGACTGCGAAACCTTCTTTGCCCTAGCTGAGTCCTAGTAGCCTAGTGACCGAAACCCTGGCTCCTAAATGGTTTCTATTTTGGATGCCCCAAAAAAATCAGGGGGACACCCTTTTGACAAAAACGACACCCGGAGTCTTTTTTGATTGGGGAGTGAGCCCCCGTGCCTTTTAATAGGTGGAAGGGATTAGCAAGTGGATGCAAGTGGGCAACAGAAAACAAAACACATCAAAGAACAAAGTCTGTGAACATTGAACCCTTGCTGCGAAACATGGAAGGCCAATGTAAATAAGCATTGCATACAAAGAGAACCAGTCACGCTTGCAAAAGGTTCATACCAACTCTGGCAACCTTGAATCTTCACCAATTGTTCCCGAAGCCACTGCCTCTGCTATCATCTTCGGCCATGTTTTGGCCGGTCCGAGCGGTGCAAAGTCCTCTGATGCCTCGCGAGTCCAACAACTGTGCTTCTCAGTTGCGCTCCATTGGGCGCTTTCCTCGTGGTGAAGACATGGCTTTGCATTCCAATGCTGGGTGTTCGGCGAAGACATTGCGAAGCGCAGTGGCCAAAGCTCCCACACGTTCCTTTTGTCCGAGACATGCGCGCCAATGTCTCGCCAATAAAAAGAGAGTGACCGGCAAATGTTGGAAGTACAAAGAGTGGTCAGTTTAGGGTGGATCAGTTTTGCCAGCGCAGGCTGGCATGCCTCACCTTGAAGGGAGTGGCCCTGGTGAAAATCGGCTGGGTGGCCATGGCTTCTGGTGTTGGTTACAAATATACCGACCTGCGTGACACTGGAAGCTGATGTGAACCAACAACAGCTTTGCAGGGGGGTCAAGACGGACCATATCTTGTCTCTAGCCTCCAACCTAGGTGGGTGTTTCTTGACATCGTTCTGCGACCTTACTTCTTGCCCACTCTGGGCTTTGATAGCATCCAAAGATATGCCGGGCAAAACAGCATGATGGAGCAGCACACTGGAAAAACAATGAACAACATATAAGCACCTAGAACAAGCGACCCTTTAATCAAGCCATTCAGCTACATACATTCAGTGACCTTCACCACGTGTGGTATACTAGTTTTAAGGTTTGAATTTCCTCAAAGATCCTCAAAGTACAGCTGCTGGTGCCCAAATATTACAGTGAGTCGAGGTCCATCTGGGCGAAACCGTCGCAGTTCAGTCCTCGATGGTTCCATCCTGACATTACCCCGGAAGGGACAAATTTGAACCAATGTAATGCAAGAAGTACTTCCAAAGCTCACAGCTGGATTCAACACAATACATTACAATACAGCACATGTCAAATCACTCAATGCATCTCGCTAAAGACCATCTACACAGCCGCTCAATTTGGTGCACACAAGTGATCGCAATCTTTGAAGCGTTCAGAGGCTCAACGTTTGGCTCATGAACGCAAGGAGGGAGTTGTCATTCCACCTGGAAATTCCTCCTGCTTCTCATTAAACCTTGACTTGTGACTTGTGAGGTGCTCCTCCAATGTTGGATGACCCTTCTCTGTGGCATTGCCATCAGGGACGACCGGGAGTCACTGCTGTAAGTAGGTCTCATCGACGTCAAGGACATCCCAACTGTCGGCTCAAACCATTGCACTTCTGTTTGGATTGGCACGCACATCTGAGCATGGCCTTTCAGGATTGCGACCTGGGATTCTGTATCCGCGTAGCGCTCCCCGTAGCGCTGCCTGGCCCGGTCCAGTGGGGGATCATAAAGTCGACGTAGCCACCACTTTGGACTCCAGCTCTGCTGTGAATTCTCGGCGGAGACGTCTCAACAGTTGAGCTTCCTTCGAACAACACAAACAACTCATTATGACTCATATGACCCTACAATCAACATCCGGAACCAAAAGGGTCCTGGGAGATTACATTGTTGCACCAGCATTGATTTTGAACACATGTTTGGGAGAAATGCCATTGCCACTCGCCCCCAACAAATTAGACACGGAACCCTTGAGAAAACGGAGCTCCATTGCAAGCTACAGTGGCAGCTACAGTTTTTCGTTTGGGCGTGGTGTGGCTATGTCTAGGACTGGCAGTCCAATTTTGTCCTCCACGATGATTGCATCCACAGCTTCATCTAGAGCCATGAATGTGGAGCCCGAAGCCTGGTGCTCTCAAAAGCAAAGCAAAGGTTGGGGAGGTACAAAGGATCACAAGCACACCTACTAGTATAGATCCGAGCAAGAAGAGTCAGCAGGTCAGGCAGCAAGAAGTCACAATCACAAGCATCAATCAAACTAGAAGGTCGCAGCCCTTTTCCTGAGGCCCCAACTTTTCACCCAAATCTTTGTTGGCCCACTGCCACCACCCGGGGCCTTTAACCTATATACACGTAGACATGCATATAAACATGCACACAATTCAGTGCAATTACATACATGCGCCTGAGTCTGCATGAGGCATATAAACAATTATCACAATGACTGCACCATGTATACATGATATATATATATAATCTGAACATTTTGCGGTTGGATGGTATCACCATTCTTGTTTGCCCTGCGTCTATTGTGGATTTCAACAGTTCCCCCCTTCTGTACGCATGGGTAGTCCGCATTGAGATGCATTAAGTACGACCCATGTGCATATTTCGGGTGCAGTAATGTCCTTAAAAGTCACTGCGTCTATTGGTGGTGGAGTAATTGAAACTAAATCAACAAATAACTTGCTGAAAACACACACACACACACAAACTACAGTATTTTACGGCCCAACCCCGCGAAACGATGTTACACTTCAGGGAATGCTCTTTACATCTCTTTACTATTCCCTCCTTCTTTTGAGTTTGCAAGATCCAACATTAATATATCCCCCTGTCATCCCCTGTCCCTCTTCACGCTGCTTTTCTGAAACCAGTAATTAAAGCTCAGTGCATGAATGTCCATCTCATCCGAGCAGCGCGTGATTCCAAAAGCTTCTTTTCTGCGCCCCATAGCCAGTCGCAAATGATTTGGCGGCTCTCGTGCTGCTGGCGACCGGTCAAGTAAATCCTTGAGGGCTGTTGCAATTCGAGTTGGTTCGTCCCTCCCTCCCTTGCTCTCGCTCTCGCTCTCGCTCTCGCTCTCTCTCTCTCTCTTGCTCTTGTTTTTGCGCACAAATGGCAAGAGGCATGGGAGTCATTGGATTTCTATCTGGATCTGAGTCTGAGTGTGCCTAGGCGGCACACCACAAGACATATAGGGATTATATGGGATTATATCAGTTTGCCTCAATTCATCTCAATTCATATCATGTTTTCTAACAGCACTTGGGTCCAGCGTCCATCTTGCATCATACTATATTGACATTAGAGGACATAGTGCCGCACAAACAAGAATCAATGGCTGCAAAGACCGCCAATGTAGGGGTTGCAGTGGATTCTTTGGCTCGGTCAACTCTTATGCGGTCCAGTCACCAAGGCTCTCGCTCTCAAGCTCCATGCTTCCAAGGAATTCAGCCCCAGGACCAATATTGATGCAAGGCTTCTCAGTCTGCTCACCTCATTGTCCACCATTGCACAAAGGGCAAAACCGCTGATGGAACCCTATGCCATTATGCGCAAAAACCGCTATGTATTGGGCAAATCTGGGCACGTCATCGTTATACAATTCCACAGCTGCTCGAAGTCTTGATACAGTCTCAAACAATTGAGACTCAATTAGGTGGGAGCATCGTTGGATAAAATAGACATAGAAAGTTGAATCAAAGGCCCTGATAAACTCATCGCAAACCTTTCCAGTCCTGATCTTGTCTTCGACTTTCAAACTTTCAACCTCCGCCTCGCTGGGCAGCTGGAAAACCAGCGGTGCTTGGAGGTTGAAGCCAAGTAATGAAAAGGCAGCCTCTCTCGCCTTCAGCAGGGCTTCAGCTGGATGACGGCCCAACTAAGTAGCAATTCCTCTTTCAATGACAAAGCTCTTGCAATTGGCGCCACATGAAACCACGACAGCAGCCTGGGCCAGGTGGTGATCTCGACGAGGCAGCAAGTTCTTGGGTCTGAGGACCAGGGTGGCCTTGGTGCGCCATCTGCACGTGCTACATGAAAGCCAAAAAATATCAACCCATTGCCGTCATAGCCTTCCAACCATTGAAAGCCCTCTTGTCCGGAATTTATCAGGTATTGCTCCACAGGTGTGAACTTGAGAGGAGGGAGACACGAAAGGTAGGACAGCGGGAAGAGAAGAGAACGCGAGAAGCAGGAACAAAAATGCAATGTTCGACATTGTGATTTATCCCCTCGGAGACCTTTCGTAAATCGTAAATATGTGCATATGCACTCTAATTGTTCAAACATATGCTCTGGAAATGTTCAAACAGATTCTTAGGAAAACAAACTTGCCCCATGGATCAGATCATCGGTGAGCATTGAATCGGAGCATCATAGGATTTGAACTATCCTGAAACCATAAGAGGCCCACGAAGACGCTCCCCAGGAGAGAATTGACGTGCTTCACAAAACAAACTCTAGGTATGTATCCCCTCGGGGAACACCTTTCGTGATTAGAATTTCATATGCACTCTTTCTAAATGTTCAAGAGGGTTTCAACTATCCTGAAATCATGAGAGGCTCACGAAGACGTTCTCCAGGAGAGAATTGAATTTAGAGGGGGGGGGTCTGTATTGAAAAATCAATTCCAAGGGGGCGGGGGGGGGGGGGGTTTGAATTGAGTGATCAATTATTAGACCCGGACGTCCCAACACTTGCTTCGCAAGACAAACTCAAGGTATCCCCTAAAGGGCTACCTTTCGTGATAAACGCCTTAGATTGCCCTGCTACCTGGCAAAAACAAACCCGTAACAAACCCGTGTGCCAGGTGCCTGCACAATATTTTCCCCACAAAAGGCGCGGCCTCGTTGAATGGATTTGCTGAAGGCCTCCGTGGTGGAATCCCGTGTTGCACCAAAAGCTGAGCATCTGAAGCCTGCAGCGTCTCACAAGGAAGTCGCGGTCTTTGGATTGGTCGCTTGACACAGCTTGTTGAGTGAGAAAAGCCTTGACCGAAGAATGGCCAGTGACAAGCTCTTGTCTCTATTCTTCCTAGGGCCAGATTTTGAGGAGACTGTTCGGAACTCCGGTTGGCAGAACTCGCAATCCCTTCATACCTACAGGGAGACGCCTGCAAGACCCAAAGACTTTCAGGGGAATTTTTTTTGGCATGACAACACTACTAGAACCCCAGAAGACAAGCATTACATATATAATGCAAAACATAGTGTATCTATATATATATATAGTACATGTAAACATTGTACAAATGCCCAAGGCAGGGTATAGGACATACACATTGTAACAGAAAAAAATGCAATTCGGCATGTTATGCATGGTTGTATTTCCTGCTGGGTTCCTTGGTTCAAAAAGGAAACGACATCAGACCTTGGGAGCATGCAACAGCGTGCCTCAGAATACAAATGTTGCAGTTCTTCACCGGGAATGATATCGCGGTCAGCTACCAGGCCCACAGCATCTTCAAATTCCTCAGCCCAAAAGAAGCTCACACAGGAATCTTTTTGCACTCTTCAGCACGATGGCTATCAAGACTCCAAGATCTACAGTACAAACCTAAAATCCTGAAGCTTTCAAATACACCAACTTCTACAAGTGTTTGAGGCAAACAGGAGAATGGCCCGCGCCTCCAGGCGGCAATTCCACAGCGGGTCTTCACCTGAGAATGAGGCGTGGCCTCTGCCACTCTGGCCATTACAGTACCCCTTTTATCATGCCAATTTCAGAAGGCCCGGACACAACTGATCCTCCATGAATGATCTTTCATGACAAAAACCAAGTGAAAACTGTCAGGCATCAAAACACATATCAACTATCGTTTTGAAGCCAGGCAAGCTGGCTCAAAGCGAAAGGACGCAATGGCGAAATAGAATACCGCATGCCCCCACCCAAATGGCTTTGGGGCTGTTGGAGCCCACGATCTTCACGAACCCGGGCTCGGTGTCAGCGAGTTGTGTGGCTCTTTACCAGGCTTGATGCGTCAAACTTACATGATCTTGCATGTGCACGTATGCAAGAGAGATAGCCATCTGAATGGCACGGCCAGTCCCGGGTTGCAATGTCCGTGATGTGCTAACAAAAGACATGCCTCAGTCGAATTCCTTGCGGAGAATCGGTAGCTGCAATTTGCAGTCGTTGACCCTCAAATGCTGGGCAAGCGGCGAGTCGACGGAATCCAGTGGTTGAAGAGATCC